TAAATTTTCTTATTTCAGAAATTTATTTCATTTAATACCTATCGAATTCTTGCCAAGATTGATTATACACTTTCTCCTTCTTCGCATTATACCTATATACATATCTATGCACGTATTTGAGCATTATTCGCCTTCACTTTCTTCGCTGATTTGATTTCTCCTATCTACTCCACTATTCCATTTGAATTTCGAAAATTGTAAAAGTCCTTGACCAGAATTTATTTTTTTCACCCATCCATCTATGTACATATGTATGTATGTTTGCATGTGTTTTGGCTTGCGTTTCTTTTCCATTGTCCTTTGCTTCGTTTTGGTTCGAAAATGAACCTGTAGCTTCTTTTTTTTCGCACTAAATATTTTGTTTTTGCTTTGAAATTCTATGTGCTTGGAATTGCATAGTAATTCCGGTGTGTTTTTCTAGCAAGAAATCACTTACTTTACGTGCTGATATCCCGCATGAAAAGTGTAACTTAAAGAAAGAGATTTCCTACAAAAAACTTTAGCACTCACATTTTTAATGTGGGGGAGTTTCAAGGGCAAATTGCATAAGTTACAGAATATAATGTTTTATAATTTGCTGCAGAAATGCTTTTATATGAAAATCAATATGAAGTAGTTGCTATATACGTACGTATGTATACTCAAGGACATTTTAAGGAAGTAAAAAGTGAAGCAATATTTTTGATGAATCTCATCACTTATTTATTGAGTTGGAAGAAAAATTTTAGACTCTAGAACTGCTTGGCATTGCGCTATAAAATTATTAAATTTACGGCATTTAAAGACTACTCGCAAAGCAAAATAGTTATGCTGGAAGAATGTGTGCTCTTCTCTAAAATCTACCAAATAATGTTCCAGAATAGAAAAATATCTTTTTTTCATTTTTCCCAAAAACTAAATATAACAAATAATTTTTAAGCAAAAACACAACCCACTTCAATTCTCGTTAATAAATTTAAGAGTACCGTTTATTTCTTTATGATCCAAATTAGTATGAGACCATTCTTGAGGTGCCACCTTTCTAATAAGAAAGAATTATCGGAATCGGTTCACGTTCCCAAAAAAAAAATCCTACGAATTGATAACCTCCTCCTATTTTTGAAGTCAGTTAAAAAAATAAAATACTTCTACGGCCGGTCGCTGCAGCTTGAGTTAGGTCTCAGCAGAAAGTAGTAACGGAGCGGCGCGCGGGATAAGATTATGTTTGATAACACCGTGCGACAAAAACAAAAAAAAATCAAAACACGGGAAAGAATCGATATACTTTTTTGGTTTACAAGGACGAATAGGTATTGAAAATGCGCTTTTAATAAATTTTATCTTTTTAAGTTAATAAAGTTTGCAGGACGAAATTCGATGCGTATATTAGTCCTCAAACAATAATTTAAAAAAAATATATATTGCAAGTTTTCAAGGACATTTAAAGACAAAATTTGTACAGGACATTTTCCA